TCTGAAATCCTGCATGGGTGAAATCTGAAATCCTGCAGGGGTGAAATCTGAAATCCTGCAGGTCTAAAATTCTGCAGGGGTGAAATCTGAAATCCTGCAAGGGTAAAATCCTGCAGGTCTGAAATCTGAAATCTTGCAGGGGTGAAATCTGAAATACTGCAGGTCTGAATTCTGAAATCCTGCAGGGTTGAAATCTGAAATCCTGCAGGTCTGAAATCTGAAATACTGCAGGGGTGAAATCTGAAATTGTGCAGGTGTAGAATCTGAAATACTGCAGGAGTGAAATCTGAAATTCTGCAGATCTGAAATTCTGCAGGGGTTAAATCTGAAATCTTGCAAGGGCGAAATCCGAAATCCTGCAGGTCTAAAATCTGAAATCCTGCAGGGTTGAAATCTGAAATCCTGCAGGGTTGAAACCTGCAAGGGTGAAATCTGAAATCCTGCAGGTCTGAAATTGTGCAGGTGTAGAATCTGAAATCCTGCAGGTCTAAAATCTGAAATTGTGCAGGTGTAGAATCTGAAATCCTGTAGGTCTGAAATCTGAAGTCCTGCAGGGGTTAAATCTGAAATCCTGCAGGGGTGGAATCTGAAATCCTGCAGGTCTGAAATCTGAAATCCTGCAGGGTTGAAATCCTGCAGGGATGGAATCTGAAATTGTGCAGGTGTAGAATCTGAAATCCTGCATGGGTGACATCTGAAATCCTGCAGGTCTGAAATCTGAAACTGTGCAGGGTTGAAACCTGCAAGGGTGAAATCTGAAATCCTGCAGAGGTGGAGTCTGAAATCCTGCAGATCTGAAATCCTGCAGGAGTTAAATCTGAAATCCTGCAAGGGTGAAATCTGAAATCCTGCAGGTCTGAAATCTGAAATCCTGCAGATCTGAAATCCTGCAGGGTTGAAATCTGAAATCCTGCAAGGGTGAAATCTGAAATCTTGCAGGTCTGAAATCCTGCAGGTCTGAAATCTGAAATTGTGCAGGTGTAGAATCTGAAATCCTGCTGGGTTGAAATCTGAAATCCTGCAGGGGTGAAATCTGAAATCCTGCAAGGGTGAAATCTGAAATCCTGCAAGGGTAAAATCCTGCAGGTCTGAAATCTGAAATCTGAAATCCTGCAGGTCTAAAATCTGAAGTCCTGCAGGGGTTAAATCTGAAATCCTGCAGGTCTGAAATCTGAAATCCTGCAGGTCTGAAATTCTGCAGGGGTTAAATCTGAAATCCTGCAAGGGTGAAATCTGAAATCCTGCTGGGTTGAAATCCTGCATGGGTGAAATCTGAAATCCTGCAGATCTGAAATCCTGCAGGTCTGAAATCTGAAATTGTGCAGGGTTGAAATCTGAAATCCTGCAGGGCTGAAATCCTGCAGGGGTGCAATCACACCTCCCCTGGCAGCGCTGAGCTCCCTGCATGCCGGGTTGGAAAATGCCCCTCTCCAGAGGAATTTTAGCTTTCTCAAACCCCTCTTTTTGCAGGAAACACAGAAAATACCCAATGTTTTATTGCCAAGCTGTGGCTGCCCCACCCCTGACCCACCCAGGTC